AGTATAAGAAGGTAAGTAAATAAAATATCCTCATACAAACTTCTATCCGTCTTTTCAATCATTCCTTTCACAGGATTCGTATGAAATCTATTCTATATCTTGTTTAGTCTCTCATACTTTTTTATACCAAATTATATGTAAATGGTTTCAGACCTAGATAGGTACTTTTGCATTTGTATTATTAGTAAAGATAATTAAAAAAGTATCACTTCTCTGGTAAAACAGATAAGTTACAAAAATAACACAACTCATGGTAAACCAATCTCATAAGCTTGAGGCCAAAGTTAAGGTTTATTCCTGGGTTTTATTAATTTCGAGATGGTGGTTTTTCTGGTATCCAGCGTAAAATTATCTTTTAAAACCTGTACCGTTATTCTAGTCCAATTTATTACAGCAAAACACGTTAAATGTAATTTAATAAATATACAAAAATGGGGGTTTAAGCTTTCTTGAAAAAGAGTACTATACAGAAAATATGAAAAGTAGTATACTGCATCCTCGATATTACTTACGATTTAGAGTTAGATTTTTTTGTAATGAGATTCGTGTTAGAGCTCCGTACCTAAAGGATAAAAAACATAACCCTATCGTTAAGAATTATTTCCCATCCCTCTGTCTGCCCGTCCATCTGTCAGTATGTGTGTCATCAGGCTGTTTCTCATGAACCGTTATAGTTAGACTTTTGAAATTTTCACAGATGATGTATTTCTGTTGTCGCTATAAGACAAAAAAATATGTTTACGGAAATTCCCATACAAAAAACATGATTTCCTTTGAAGTGCGACTCGTACATGGCCGGTTTTTTGACAATGTCATATCTAGAGAATAATCTATAGAAGCAGTTCATGTCTATTTCATACTTTTTTGGGCCAGAATATACCTACATATGTACTGCTGTTAGTAATCTTCTGATTATCGTAATTTTCCTTGCGTTTCTTGATTCTCGATAGTGTCGCCATAAAAGTTTAACTTGTCATTAGCTTATTTTTGCTTACAGCCTGGTTTTCAAGGAAGTGTCCATACATTCTCCTTAATCTTTTTTCTATGGTTTCCAGCAGGTCCACACATCACATCACATCACCAGCCCTTTTACGTCCCCACTGCAGGGGCTCAGGCCTTCCTTATGGATAGTTAAGGAGGACGGGCCATGACCCTCCACGCTGGCCCAATGCGTATTGGAGGGTATTAACGACTGCAAATGCAGCCGGGATCAACGGCTTAACGTGCCTTCCGAAGCACGGAGTAGCTCGAGATAATAATTTTTTGGTCACCCATCCCGTGACCGAACCTTGCGAAAGTTGCATAACGACTACGATCGCGGGCCGCGGCGCTTATCCACTACGCCACCGAGCTATTCGACAATTCCAAAAACAATTCCAGCAGGTCCTCCACGTGACAAAATTGGCTTCTATTTAATATTGAGGTTAATCAAAATTCACTCAACGTTTAATTGCATTTGATTTAACTCGATATAACGGACTTAAACATTAAAATAAATAAATATGTGATCTTATAATACATATTGATTATTGAGTGCAATCCAATGTCAAACAAATCGAAGCAAATGTTGTTAGGCGGTAGCCCTAATAGCCGTCTCTTTTCGTTGATGATTCCCAATACTTATTCAGCCGATTGTATTTCGTAAAGCTTATTCCAACAATATAAAAACCTTATACTACTCTAGATAATCTTCTTGGGTATTTAGACTAGCAATCTCACCTTAATAGGTGTTCCTTATTACTAAACACTCTCTTAGCCATCCTTACTTCCATTAATTTTATTAGAAACACAAAAAAATTAAATATACTTTTACGAAATTTTTGCGTTAATTACAGGCAACACATCACGCGACCGCAACGTATCGTAAAAAAAAAAATGTGTGATCGGCGATTGAGTGGAGGCGCGCACGATCATGGCCAAACTTCTTTTTGGAATTGTCCCAAAAATCGTATAATGTGATAACCACACCGTAACCGTATAATATAGCTCTGATGTGACCTACAGAACGTAAATACCCAGCTGCTGCGATAATGGGTTGACAACACCTAGCTCGAAGGGAGACAATTACTTTTAGGGCGCTTGTGCACTACACTGAATTTTCAGGTCTAGCGGTCCGCTTTTTCCGGTCCGATATGTCAGGCCATATGTAGGTAATACTAGCCTGTGCATTGTCAGGAATAATACCGTCCGGATTTTTTTTCTTTTCTCTATTCCGGACCGGCTTTTCAGATCTGCAATGGCGGCAATAAAAAACGTGTTTACACTTGTGCACTGCTGTGTCCGCGATCCGGAAAATTCATGAGCCTGCAGAGTAGGCTTGGGGAAAAAATAATCGATTTATGAAAATTTTATATGTTCATGATATTTTATATGACGATTTAATATAGTTGGTAAATATCACTGCATATGCTTTGGCAAACTCGATATAGTTCTGATTTGATCATCGTATGGTTCTAGTATCGATACTTTGATAGATTCTAGAATCCTATGAAAATTATATACCCTCCAATCCGCATTGGGCCAGCGTGGAGGGTCATGGCCCATCCTCCTTAACCATCCATAAGGAAGGCCTGAGCCCCTGCAGTGGGGACGTAAAAGGGCTGGTGATGGTGATGAAAATTATCGCTAACTTAAGGTAAGATAAATAAGCGTTGTTACGCTTAGACGCCTAAACAACTCAACCTACCTTAATGGATACTAATATAGAAATAGACTTAACCTTAAGACCTTTCTTAAGGTTTAGTCTATTTCTATATTAATATCCTTACATAGGCTACATTTTATCACGAAAAATAGGAAAACACGTGGAAATAGGGGATGAAAGTTTGCATGGAAATTTGTCATTATCAAAATTTGTTTTTAGGCAATTGGTAAGTATAAATACCCTCCAATCCGCATTGGGCCAGCGTCGAGGGTCATGGCCCATCCTCTCAGCCCCTGCAGTGGGGACGTAAAAGGGCTGGTGATGAAGTATAAATAAATATTTGATAACAGAAGTATTCACTATTCAAAAGAAAAAGAATTCTGCTCCAAGAAACTATACCACGCGTATAAAAGAAAAGCGAGTAAGTATATATACTCGTATAATGCAGTCAACTGATCTTACAATGTACGTACGTATGTACATATTGTACTTAAATCATGACATTAAAAAATTACAAAAATAAAGATGGCCGATTTAAATGCCACTTGGTAAAGTTCATTTAACTTATTAATTCTAATTCTTCTGATTACGAAACGGTATCAACGGTTGGCCTATGTCTGTAATCGCTTGTTTTTACAAAACTTCGAAGAAAGGACATTGCTCAACGTCCATACATTGGTGGCCCCAGAGCCAAAAAAATATAGGAACATACTTATTTTATTGTGTGTCACTAACTAATTCTCACTATGTATTTATTATTCCGCGACCGAGTTTTAGAACTTATTATCACGCAAAATATAATTCATTTTGAGGTTACAATTTGTTTGGAAAACCATCAAGAGATGGCACTCTAAGTACATGATATGATATTGATGTCTATATTGTCGAAGCAAAAAAACTCAACTTTAAGAAAGTCGGTTTTTCGTTGTGATTTGTAAAAGTTTCTAAGTCAATTAATAGACAAATAAATCATTCTAATAGTTAAATAATATACCTATTGATAAGCTTAAAATTAAAAAACCTTTAGCTTTTTTATGGTTTACATCAAAAGATGGCGCCTTAAATACATAAATGACATGATGTTAATATGTTTACGAGAAATATAAAGGTAATGTAATAGAAACAAAGTAGTTTTTAGGATAAGTCGTATGAATATCAATCTTTCTGAATAAACAAGAGTGAATTATCAACAGTTAATGAATTTAGTTTGTATAATATTCAGTTTTTATGTCCTTATGTTTTAGTTGGAAAATCACCAAGAGATGGCGCTTTTAGTAAATTTAAATTTATTTTCGGTCAATTTAATTTAATGTTTTTGCGTTCGATGATTTAAAGGTTATCTAATAAAAATAAATGATTTTCTTGATCTGACGTGTAAACTACATCCATCTGACTCAAAAGAATTTAAGTATATTGAATGTGAATATTTGGGAATAAAAATGTTGCTGTTAAAGTACTTTTAAATATTAATTTTGGATCACAGCTTGTCCGTGTCAAATAAATATTTGATTCGAATTTAATAAATAAAGTAGTAATTATTATTGAAGTATTAATATTTAATGGTATTGGGGCCATTTTCGGCGATGTCCTTTGCATGATTATAAATTTGACCATCAAGTACGAGAACAAAGATATTTTTAGCTATTGTATGTGAATAATGTTGTTCCTAAATTAGTAAGGGTATAATAAGTTTCTACATTTGATAGTAGTAAAAAAAAAATACTTTTGTCCTGCCTCAATTTATACCTTTCACTTATTTTTTAGACCCAATATTTGTTCTGGAGATTAGAGTAATAAAGCAAGCAATAACAGAAGTTCCTAAAATCTCATCGTTCCTAACGTAAGTAACGTGTAGCTTCAAAAAGAGAGAAAATTCAGTGTAGTGCAAGCGCGTTTAATCTCCCTTGGCAGTTGTCTCCATCATCTAGTAGGACCAACATTCAACCTAACGGTCCCTACAGTTGTATTTATAGAAGCGGAATAGGTAATTATGGATCAAAATCAATTGTGTAACGTCTATCGGCCAAAGTAAACTAATGCTGCATTTATATAAGTATACTGCGTCTTCAGTAAAAGTACAGTTAAAAGATTTTTTCACGAAACACGTACATAAAAGGATTTGTGAAGAAATAAAAGATAACATTTTAAAAAATAAATCTTTATTTGTGAACTAACATTCGATCATCTGTTTGGACACAATACAACACAAATTATTTACAATTAATTTAATAAATTAGATTTAGTTTAAAAACTAATCAGTCAGACACATTACGACTAGCATAAATTACAATAATAAATTACAAAATATTACAAAATGATTTGGAGATCCATTGTAGGTTGTTGCTAGGAATAGTTTTTAGTCGACTTCTTCAACGGTAGGTCCCGAGTGAGGTCGCTGGGCGTACTGTTGTTGCTGCGCGCCAGCTCCAGCTCCAGCTCCAGCTCCGTGCATCTTGCTCATGACGGGCGCGCACACTCGCTGCAGCTCCTTCAGCCGGTGCTCGAACTCGTCTTTCTCAGCGAGCGTGTTGTTGTCGATCCAGCGCAGTGCCTCATCACACTCGCGCCGAGCTGTCTCCTTGTCTTGATCGCTGAGCTTGTCACCCGCCTCGTCCAATGCTTGTCTTACATTAAATGCGTAAGACTCCAGCTGGTTGCGCGCTGCCACTCGTTGGCGCTGACGCTCGTCCTCCTCCTTGTATTGCTCTGCCTCTGACAACATGCGGTCAATCTCAGCCTGGGACAGGCGGCCCTTGTCATTCTTGATCACGATATTCTTTTCACGGCCAGTGCTATTTTCCTTGGCCGATACGTTGAGGATACCGTTGGCGTCCAGATTAAAGGTCACGTCAATCTTCGGTACCCCACGTGGTGCAGGTGGGATGCCTGTTAAGTCGAAGCGGCCTAGGAGGTTGTTATCCTTGGTCATAGCTCGTTCTCCTTCATATACTTGGATGGTAACGGCTGGTTGGTTGTCGGAGTAGGTGGTGAAGGTCTGCGATTGCTTGCACGGGATCTTTGCGTTCCGTTCGACTATCTTCGTCATGACTCCACCTGCCGTCTCGATGCCGAGCGATAATGGCGCCACATCTACTAGCAGAACGTCTTGGATCTTACTGTGCTGTTCACCACTAAGAATTGCAGCTTGTACCGCAGCGCCATAAGCTACCGCTTCATCGGGGTTGATAGACAAGTTCAACTTTTTGCCGCAGAAGAAGTTCTGAAGCATACTTTGAATCTTTGGAATGCGAGTAGAACCACCCACGAGAACCACGTCGTGAATCGAGCTCTTGTCAAGTTTAGCATCCTTGAGTGCTTTCTCCACTGGTTCCAGAGTGCCACGGAACAAATCGGCGTTCAGTTCTTCAAAGCGGGCGCGTGAAACACGCGTGTAGAAATCGATACCTTCATGTAGTGCGTCTATCTCTATGGTGGCCTCCGTACTCGATGACAATGTTCGCTTAGCTCGCTCGGCTGCTGTGCGCAGGCGGCGAAGGGCTCTCGGGTTGCTACGGATATCCTTCCTAAACTTTCGTTTAAATTCCTCTGCTAGGTGGTTTACAAGTCGGTTGTCAAAATCTTCACCACCTAAGTGCGTGTCGCCGGCGGTTGCCTTTACTTCAAATAGCGAACCCTCATCGATTGTTAGTATGGACACGTCGAATGTTCCGCCGCCCAGATCGAAGATTAGAACGTTGCGTTCGCCTTTTAGATTCTTGTCAAGACCGTACGCGAGTGCAGCGGCAGTAGGCTCATTGATGATACGTAGGACATTAAGCCCAGCGATGGCTCCTGCATCTTTGGTTGCCTGTCGTTGCGAATCGTTGAAATAAGCTGGCACGGTGATAACTGCATCTCGCACCGTTGATCCCAAATACGCCTCTGCAGTTTCTTTCATCTTCGTTAACACCATGCTGCTGATTTCCTCAGGTGCGAATCTTTTCGTCTCTCCTTTAAATTCGACTTGTATCTTTGGTTTGCTGCAGTCATTGACAACTTTGAAGGGCCAGTGTTGCATATCTTGCTGGATCTTTGGGTCATCAAACTTGCGGCCGATAAGTCGTTTCGCGTCGAATACAGTGTTACTTGGGTTAAGAGCAACCTGGTTCTTCGCAGCATCACCGATTAATCGTTCAGTGTCTGTGAATGCGACGTAAGATGGAGTAGTTCGGTTGCCTTGGTCGTTAGCGATGATCTCCACATTTCCGTGTTGCCAAACTCCAACACACGAGTATGTCGTTCCAAGATCAATTCCTACAGCTGGCATTATGACTTTAAAATTACTTTCCACAATTTCTAACAAAGAACTAATTCGTTTAGTTTGTAGATCGTTTGGTGTTCCCACCGAGTTTTGCTTGTTGCGCTTGTTTGTATTTGAATACTGAATGTCTTGGCGCGGTTTCGGCTCGTATTTATACTCCCAGAGCGCTAGCCAATGACATTCACGAACGTTCTCGAGAACTAGAATTCTCTAGAACGTTCGTTAATGTTAAGCCAATGGAATAAAATTTAGGGTGGAACATTCTAGAAAAGTCATTGCGACCGACCAATGAATGATAAAGACAAGAACAGCGTTATAGGTGCGAGTAAGAAGGCAACAATAACAATGCATCAGAGATTACGTTGGGGCTGCCAGCGTTTTAAATTACCGATTATTTAGGGTGGAATGTTTTGTGTTTTTGATAAAAAAAATTGTTAATTATTATTCGATAATTGCATCTATAATGATGTATTGAAATTTTAAAGTTAAACATCGAGAGCTTTCCTTTTGTTTATATTAATTTATAGTAAAGCAGAAGCATAGTATGAAATAATCTCTATTGATTTATTCTAAATTAACTACTTATTAGTTGGAAATATGTAATTATAATATGTTTGATCAGCTAAATACCAAAACGAAAAGGAAAAAAAATATAATAGGTACTCTATTGAAGTATTTTGCCAAGTTAATTCAAAATAGTCGGAGCAATTCTGTTGCACAAACATGATTAAATTTAGATTTATTCCTGTCAAACTGCATTTCCAATTGTGAAAATATAGATAATGTAAGTACTTGATTATATGATAGTATCTGTATACTATCATATATATCCTCTGATAATTACACTATTATACGTTTTTGATTACGTTTACATGTGATGTAATGTTAAAACAGATCCAAATTAAAAGTTTTTTTAGTTTACTTAAATATGTATGCACTATTTAATTCTAAAATGAGATGGGTTTTCAGTGATATTATTTAGTTATTCTATCGATTGCAAATAATCATGATTTTCAAAACTAATAAATTTTATAAACTAATAACTATAATATGAACTTTTAAAACAAGTAAGGTAATTACTTTTCATGCGATTGGTAACACTTTTCTGGAAGCTTCCATCTTCTATCTCTTTCGCGATTGTATTGTTGGTATTCATTCTATTTCATTTTAGGTTGTGGCGCAGTTACTTATTGATTAGTCGAACCTCTCATTCTCTCTTGTGTCTATATCTCTGGTTTCGTAGAATGTTCTAGAATTGTTACGCTACCAAGTCCAATAGCCGTCTGGAGAATTATTTAACGTTTCATTTAATACCTTTATTATTTGATCGGGTTATGTGATGACGCAGGACTATAAAAGCGAAAAACGCTGGGCTCTCTGCGAGATACCTTTTCCGTTAGTCTAGTGATGAGGTTCCATAATAATTATGTAGAGTTTTCATCATCTTACTATAATATAAAGTGTTAAGGGAGGCTTTTTTTTCGAAATGTTACATCCACCTTCAGTATAGAGCACAAAAATGTAGAGCATTAAATAAATTAAGAGGTGATAAGTCCTATTTAAATATCAAAATGGCCCAGTCGTCGCCCGGTTGAACAACTGTGCTAGAAACGTAGAGTCAGAACAGAACAAAACCATTGGAGGGACATCATAATGGAATCAAGGTGGGTACATAATCAAATGTTGTAAAAAATATATAGAAATTAGAAATTGTCTTCCTATAAATAATTGCGTTGTAATTTGACCTTGACCTTTTAGGTGTAAAAAAATGTGTGTCATTGTTAGGTTTTATAGGTACTTAATATTAAGTTACTAATATCAACGACTAATAATTAAAAAATATACCTTATATTATAATTCGAATTATCTAATTAAAAGAACAACGAACAAAGGAATGAAAAATGGATGACACGTACGCCACGGCGACTCACATTCGCAATACAAAATGGCGGTCGCTAATGACGTCATTGTGAGATAATTTGTTAATGATTACAAGTTATTTTGAAATAAGTTAATAGAAACGTTTAGATTAAAATGATTGTACTTATAATAGTATACATAGGTAGAAAAAAAAATATTATAGAGTAAGAACCAAAAGAGAATGTAGAGTCATCAACAGTTGCGTCGTCTCTATGTTTCTTTGACCTTTCGGCTACGTATTAGTAATAAGGACATAACATAATTAGTGGAAATAAGCTTTTCTACATATATAATAATCACTAAAAGTGTACAAAGAAAAACACGAGATTTTAATGAGTTAAATCGCAATGATATAAACTCATTCTAAAGTCGTTTAAGATTGCGGAATCTATTCAAAATAAAAATGAACAAGTACTAAATGCGTCTGTGTTATAAGGACGGAGAAAATGTTTATTATAATTATAAGCGGTTTAGAGCGTTTAAAATAACAGCATGTTTAATATATAAAACGAAACAAAATTAATTAAACTGGTAATTGTTTTAAGTTGTTATGTGTGTTTTTATTTTCAGAATTTCGGACTCAGGCTGGTAGCGTATTGCAATTTATATTTTGCAATGAGAGCGTTAAGTTTTGACACAGGCGGATTATTTGCAGTCAGGCAGTATTTTGCGTTGGTTTTGTTTTCCTTAATCGGTAACGAACGGTGATTTTTCGTATAAATATTGTGTAAAACAAAACTATCAAAAGAAATGATGTAAGAGATTAATAAAAAGTAAAACTGAATAGTTGTTTATAGCAATCCTTATAAAAAGTTAATTATCCAAAAGTTAGAATTTCTTTTATTTATTACCTATGGTTGAATAATTTTCACAGGAATAGAAAATGTTTGCTACGTGTTAACAGCTATTCATCGGATTCAGCAGGCGTCTGTCGGTTGAGCTTTTAAATGTGTGCATTTAGGTTACAATATTTTACAATATCAACATATAACTAACGGGATAATTTTAAATCTCTAAAATTTTTCTTGATATATTGGGTAAGGGAAAGATTCTAATAATTATAAATTTATTCTAACAATTTTTAGTTCAATTAAAAGTTTTTACATGTTTATGTATTAAATTTTTTTTTTGACTCGAAATTAAAGTCAATATTTATGAACGAATCCAAATTAGTAAACAGAATTAAGTTTTAGATTTAAAAATATTTTATAACAATATCGGTTTACAAAATTACGCAGAAAAATACTATTTCTATAGATCTTATGTTTGAACAATTATCATATTACAAACATATTACAAACATATTACATATTACAAAATACGGTACCACGTTAAAATATGAGAGATTATGTATTAAAATAAATTTTTTGACTCGAAATTAAACAGCCAATATTTATGAACGAATCCAAATTAGTAAACAAAATTAAATTCTAGATTGAAAAATATTTTATAACAATTTTGGTTTACAAAATTACGCAGAAAAATACTATTTTATTTCTATAGATCTTATGTTCGAACAATTATTATCATTAAAATAAATCGGGACATTTATGTGAACATATTACAAAATACGGTGCCACGTTAAAATATGAGAGATTATGTATTAAAATAATTTTTTTGACTCGAAATTAAAAAAGCCAATATTTATGAACGAATCCAAAATAGTAAACAGAATTAAATTCTAGATTGAAAAATATTTTTTAACAATATTGGTTTACAAAATTACGCAGAAAAATACTATTTTATTTCTATAGATCTTATAACAATTATTATCATTAAAATAAATCGGGACATTTATGTGTACATATTACAAAATACGGTGCCACGTTAAAATAAAACAAAATTAATTATAAGAAGTTTACAATCTGAATTTTGAACTTTAAAGCTGTTATGAGTCATGGTGTGGTGTATTGCAGCTTAAAGAAATAATTGAGGTAAGGAGGCGGATATAACTAGGTGGTTTTTAATGATTACAGGTAATATAATAAGAATCTAATCTAACAAATCAACCAAATCAATAAATTATATGCGATTCGATTCTTGATAAAGTTTGAAGTCGAGATGTAGGTACCTATCTAATTAAAGTTGTGTAATGACAAGTATCTTTGTTATTCTTATATAATATTAGCTTTCGAATTAATATTAGCGCCAGCGGCTTCGCTCGTGTGGTCTTGTATTATACATAAAAATCTTCCTTTTGAATCACCCTATCTGTGAAAAAAAAAACCGCATCAAAATCCGTTGCTTGCTAGTTTTAAAGATTTAAGCTTACATATAGGGACAGGGAAAGCGACTTTGTTTTATATTATGTATGTAGAGTGGGCGACTTTTTTATTTTTTTACACATGTATTTCATTTTAGTGTAGACAAAAAATATAGGTAGGAATTTCAATTTTTATGAGTGTGTAAATAATAATTTGTTGTATTATTTTTTTTAACATGGCAAATAATAAAATACGTTTTAAAGTAGCTATATTAGAAGTAGAGGTACAGACGGATGACAAGTACAAAATCAAATATACGCGGCACATATATTATATAAAATATACATAGATTTAAGGAATGCAAGATGTTTATTTTAATACCATTGGAAGTTTTAGATGACATAATAACAGATGACGTTAAGATAATTATCTTCATATGTGTGAAGGAACTCTAGATAATATAAATCTATAAGAAATTAAGATTTGCAATTCTTATAAAATAATCATTTTTACATTATTAAAAAAAAAATGATAAGAAGTGATACATAATACAATATCAATTTATATTCGATAACTTGGTATTATGCATACATAAAAAAAGGAGCGAACTCCGAAACCATTATAATAATCTGAGTCCGAAACGAGTTACTATTTAGAATTCGTGAAATATGTCTGTGTAATCTATACTCTTTAGATAGGTATTTGTATGAAATCTTGACACTCGTAAAAAATAGAAAATCAAATAGATTGAAACATGTATATCCCAAATAGATAAAATCAAGGTGTTGAGGGTAAAATTGCTGGTTTGTTTGATATGCTGTATTGAAGTATTTATAAAGTGAGACTCGAGTGTCTGTAATGTGAGAAATGTTGATAGCGCTTTAGGTAGTTTGCTTATTATGATACAATCTAGTCTAACATATGAATCCGTATGAAAGGCTGAAGTTTAATAATTTGGCAAAAATATATTTAAAAATTATGTGCAATTTTATTGCTGATAGAG